ACTAAATGACAAAACCATAAAAACCTTCCAATGTGGGGAAAAAGGAAGCTTTCCGAGGCCTGGGTATTGCAATACATGCAGTAGTGCATCATTTTAGCAACTCTAAAAAGAGGAAAAAATTACATTTTTTATCTTATACCTCAGATATTTTGTTCTGTGTATTTTAATATTGTGGGTCTTTAATTTCTGAAGGTTACGTAGTTTGATTGCTGGCTGTAGAAGTTTTTGTGGTTGATCTAGAAAGCTGCTAGATATGAATAAAAACTGTTTTAGGGCCACAATCAAGAGTGCTATATCATGTAAATGAATTATATATGCTGAATATTAAGCTATTGGGGTTATCACATGTTTTGTAAGAGTGTAAGTGACTACAGTAGTCATTTTTTTCTGCATCTACATTTATTTTAGTTTATGAGAGGGAGGGAGGGGGGAAATTGGGGACATGGGAATGGGGTTTGGCTAAAATATTAATTAATGAAGCAAAAAGGGGCCCCACTGCACCAACTATCATATATCAGCTGTCTTAAATTATTCACTGTTTGTTCAAAGCCAAAGGTTATGTTCTTATTAGGGGTGCTTTTCTCGACACTTGTACATAAAAATCGGATTAAAAGCTGTCCGAAGGCACCCTTTTAAAGCATTCCACCAGGCAGTATTCAGCTATTTAACCATAACTAGTTATTTAGGCAAAAACTGCTAGTTAGACCATTAACAAGCATTCTTTTTATATTTCTTCCAGTAAAATAAATTATTGATATCATTGCTGACTTTTATATTATGGGAGGGAAAAAAAACAATAATAAAAAGGTGATAAAAGCACTGTTTCTATTTTTTTCTTTTTTTTCCAAAAAAGAAAGTAATAAAAACTTAAATTCTTTGTACCAGTAAAAAAAATGTATAAAATTTACATCCGTGCAGTGGAGTTGTTAAGTTCTAGAAATACACAGCCTATGATGCTTTAGATTTAGCCTAGTAGACCAACTGTTAGAGACAGACGTATCATTTTTATGGAATTATATGATAATCATATTCAGATTTATATAAGCATTTTACAAGTATTGCAATCATTGAGTAGAGATAATCATGGTATTTTCATCAGCTTGGTACTTTTTGAAACATGACTGTGTCGTGTAAACAATCTGCAATTTTTCAAGGCATGACAACTTGCCCCTACTTAATTTTCGAACCAAGGCCATTTTGCTAAATATTGGGCCCAAGACAACTTTTACACTGGGACAAAAGAGGGACCTTCTTCTGACCGAGAAGGCTGCGTGTCTGGGTCTGGGGTGGGTGCAGCCCAGCAGATGCCCGGGTGGCGGTTTCAAGCATAGTTGAAAAATTGCAGTTTGTCTGTGCATATGTTTGGACTCTTTCCATGTTGTCCTGTTTACAAGTTAACCTAAGTTGGGGTGTTTGTCACGGGTCTTCTTGTTTTTGTATTTAAATAAATAAAGCAGAAAACTGTCTCGCTACAGTTTTGCTGCAGATAGTTATATCCTCATGTGTAACGTGCGTGCCTACTGGCAAGCACCTTAGTAAATTATCAACTCACCGCTGTGAACCTGCCAACTTGCTATAACAACTCTGCTTTAAAAAAAGTGTTTGTGATCAGGCTTTCTCTTTGTCATCGTATGTGCATGCAGTATGATCAGTTGAACAATAACCATCAATAAAGTTTCACAAGATTTGAAAACAAAGTTTCTGTAGCATTTATATCTAAGAATGAAAAATAAATTATCTTTAAAATTGAAACAGAGAGAGAAAGAGACTATATTAATCAATGAAAAATGGGGCAGTAACAGATATTTATACTAGTGAGGGACTGAACTGAAATTTATTAAGAGTTCAATCCCCACATTTATTATATAAGATATACAGAACAAGCCTCCTATTTAAAAAAAAATAAAATAATTTAAGCACCACTATAAAAGCAACTTGAAAAATGTTTACCAAATGTTAGGCTTCCAATTTGAAGTGTGGATGATACATCTTTTTTGGAATTGCACACACAAAATGTCTAACGTGGGGAATAACAGAATTTATTTGCAATTTTAATTTTCATGAGATGGCTTTACAACTCCCACTCTCCAAATGATTATATGGCGTTTTAGTCTATTAAAATAATCTTAAAAGGTTGAGAGTGCAGCCCATATTAGAAAATATTTTGTTTATAAAGCTCCTACAGTACTCCTAGTAGTCATTTTAAAATGTATGTCTGAAATAGTTATGTAAGAAAAGCATTTGAAATTTTTTTACAATATATATTGGGAATGTTTTCACTTATATAAATAACTACTGATAATATGACTTATGAAAAAAATTATTACTACCATATGTGGAATATAGTGACTTCTAAACAGATTTAAAAAAACACCCTACAAACCCAGAAAATGTGTATATCTGTCTTTAGAAATTAGTGTTTATATCACAACCGTGATTTGTGAATAAAGAAAACTGGTTTGTAATATCAAAATAAAAGCTTAGTCTGAAAAGGTAAAAATACGTTGGTGTTCAAAGTCATTTTGCTTTTCTTTTTTACTGTGTTGGTCCAAGAGCTCTCCACCACCTCTACCGCACACGATGTACTTACCGACAGATGGACAGCTGGCAGGGTTCGCAGGTTTTTTACCGCCTGGAAGTGGTGTTTGGGAGCCTGGCTGGGCAGAGGAGCCCGATGAGGATGGTGCCTGTGTGCCAGGGCGCAGGCTGGGGCTGCCTTGGAAGGGGGGGGGGTGTTCTGTCTGGGAGAGGGGAGCAGTAACCTCACCAGCGGGCCCAAGCTGGGCTGCTGATGCTTCTCAGCCAGAGCGATGAGATTCAGCGTGGGACTGGGTTGAAGGTTTGCTTCCTGGAAAGGCAAGGTTAATCCAGTATCAGACGTCATTTTCAGGCAACACTGCATGATACATGAGGAAGAACTGGGGTTTGTTCGTAGAAAAAAAAAAAAAAGGCATCCTGCAAACTGACAGCATTTACACGGGCCATTCCATCTAAGAGGATCGCAAGAACACCACTGAGATTAAATGTGCCTGTAGTTGCTCAGGCACGTGCTGCTCAAGGAGCAGCGATGCTGGGGAGGGCCACCTACTAGTGAGTATGTGCCCCCACCACTTCTCTCCATGATGGATGGGAGTTAGCCCTCTGTTTCACTGTCTTTGCTGTTTCTGTGCCCCTTCCAGTACAGAGGGGGGAGGAAAGAGAACTGTTCGGGAAGGCTCCTTCTTGTTACTCCCAGGTATCTTGTCCAAGCCACAGGAAAGACGACTACATGCTCGTAGGTCTAGACTTACCCATCAGTCCAACAGGTCGTGATGAGGCTGATAAGTTTAATGTGCCATTAATCATGTCACGTGTGTGCCAACAGAACTGTGTGTCTCTTCTGCCCGAGTTCCTGTTATATCGTAATTTAGCAGAGGAAGAGAAGACATAAAGATAAGGGATTAAACATGGCAAGTTATGGTGTTTAGCAGCAAGCTTTACTCTAAAAAGTGCTTGGATCCTGCTAGGAAGGTAAAGAAAAGAAACCCTAATGTTTGCCAGGAATGGTGGGGAGGCATTAGGTTATACTTACTTTATATCTTTATATGAAATACAAGCACTAAATGTTCAATCCTCTACACCATGCGTGAGGGGTGTATCGACAGTTGCTCCTTTGGTGGCTGGATGAAGTTACAAAGGTAGCAATATCGAGGAAGACTTGGACTGAAGGAAGGTGAGAAGCACGTGAATAGACAAATGCGAGTGGGACGCACACACACAACCTGAAACACCACATAATTTTCACGTGGTTGGATTCATCTGCCTGTTGTCTGATATCATTATTTATGATTTAATGCAGTAGAGCTTCCTTTCTTAGACAAGTAGCCAGAACATGCTAAATTAATAAAAAATTTGTATTTATTGAACAGTTGGCCAGAGAATAAGCTAAGCATCATGTGTAACCAAAAAAAAAAAAAAAAAAGAAAAAAGGATATGCAGTAAGCTTTTCAGGGTAATTTTCCTATGATTTTAAGTTCTAATACAGTTTTAATTGTGTAGCATAGATTATATTGAATCTTTTTAGGAAATCTTAGAACTGTCCCTGTATACCATGTCCTGTATTGCTCTGTGCTTGATCCTTTTTAGTGGCATCCAGGTTTCCTTTTTGGGCAAAATGCTAAGTTTTATAACTAGAATTTAATTTTCTTCAACTTTCTGGGAACTTTGTCTTCAGTTTGAATTGCTGTTGTGCCGTATTGCTGTTTTTGATCTCAAGTGATTTTTTTGCAAGTTTGACATGTTCCTATTGCCACGTATTTTTTTTTTCAGTTTTACAGTACAGATGCGTGAGGAAAAAAGGCTGTGCAAATGATTTCTTCCCTACAGTAGAGCTGAATAATCATCATATTGGTAGGTGGAGGGGAGAGAAGAAAAAAGAAGAAAAAAAAGCAACCTTATTTCAGTGGGAAGAGAAGATTTGAGTGGGAGATTAGAAGGGAGACAATGATTTCGGGAGGTCTTTGAAGAATTTATGAAATTACCAGTACTATAAAAGTTTATCATAATGCTTCATTTATTCCTAAAGGTCATATGCTTCACTTGTCACTGTGACATGAACTTTATGCCACGTCTTTCCAGACTGGAACTTGAGTCCTTACAACACATAACTTGATTCCTACAGCAATGGAGATGTTTGCTTTTTGTCTGAAAGGGAAATTGTTCTCTGGCAGCTTTTATGCCTCTCCAGCACCTCCCTAGTGCTCTGCATACCAATAATTGTCTTGCAGCACTTCACAAAATGCACAATGGACCCAGACTAGGATCAGAAAAAAATCTAGGCAATCTATGCCAGTATATCATCAACTTGAATCTTTTCTCTTAATGAGGCAAGACTGAGATTAGCACAGGGAGGAAAAAGATTAAAAGTACTTCTTTATCCAAGAGCTGGTCCTTATTTTCTTACTTGGAAAAGAAATGTTTTTATTTTCTGCTGGTTTGTATTTAAGTGTGTGGGTACAATTCCTATATCCACCCAGAGGATGAATCTAGTGTGATGGCAGTGTATTTGAAACAGTGGTATGGCTACCTGAGCATTTCACTGCTCACTTTAGCTGGCGAGGATACAACTCCTGCTACACAGCAAAGCTATGAAACATGTGGATTACCCGTTTGAGAAGAGCAGATACTTTGAATTATATCCATGAAGGGACCTGGAGACGTCAATGTCGTTTTAGGTGTTCAATCGGGCAGCATTCAGAGCCAGGAGCTCCTGTTCAGCTGTTGTTTAGCTCTCCAGTAGATGCTGTCAAATGTTTCAGATTCCTACCTAATGTCCTACCAGGGTGCTCAAGGAGGGCAGTCTTGGTTTATGTGGTTTGCAGTAACTAGTTAGGTAGGGGTACTAAGAATAAGAGCTTTGGGTGGAAGGGGAGATAGGTTGCTATGCCCACTGAAGCCATGTTCAAAGCACTGACAAATATATGGGGGAGAATCGTTTTAAAAATCTTCTCTTGGCTTAATGTATACAGGAATGTTTTTTTCCCATATATAGGTGCCATGTGTATATTGAGTCAAGCAGTTCTCAGCTGTTCTGTTAAAGACCTTCCATTTTACTTAACCAATTAGTCACTGAGAAACAATTCTTCAGTAGTCTGTTGGTTGGGACTCTGTCCTGTATTCCAGTCCCCGTTCCACATTAGACTAAACAGAACATGCCTCCATGACCCCATCGCTTGATTAACAGGGATTGGATGACACTGAAATGTTCCTTCTCCTTCCCATGAGACCGGTTGGCTTGTTTTTGGTTCCTGATTCCAAAAGAGATTTACAGCTGAAAATCCAAACTGGAGAAAAGCTCATTGTGTTTAAGGTACTTTACAGCACTCCAGCCTCAGCACTGCTTATGGCTTGGTTTATTTTGCTTTCTGTTAGCTTTGATTTACCCATGCACTGCCCGGGCAGCCTGCATCCCTCACCAATTTAATGATTACATTCTTTAGCAAAAGGCCTGTAAGTCAGGAGTTCAGGACATGGGAAAGCTGTTAAATAAAACATAAGTGAACGTAAAAATAATCATTTAATGGCCATTATGAAAGGACAGTAAACCAAACAGTTCAGTCCAATGGATTATCTATAACATCTAAACAAATATGACAACTAATTAAGGATTAGGTTCTGCATTTTGGATGACAGGCCTTATAAAAATGAACAGCTAGGTTATGTTGGGGGAAAAAAAAGCTGCATTTTGCAAATGTCAGGCAGACAGCTCAGTAAGCAGAAAAGCTCAGTTATCCAATTAAAATAAATGGGTAGTGTTCTCAATATAAAGAGCTAAAGCATCCTTATGTTGAGGAGTTAAGATCCTGAAATATAAGTGGAGCAAAAAGTGCTCTCTATGAAGATTAATGTAATCTATCAAGATTAACATTTTGCATGCTGGCAAAGGCATATAGTAATGTGTTTCAATTCCTGAAATTGGAAACATTAGACTAAGATCAGTACCAATTTAAACCCCAGGTAACCCCAAATATTGAATTGAATTCATTATTTACAACCACAATCGGCTAATAAACTTGTCCTAATGGCTTCTATGGGAAATAGATACCTACAGTAGGTGCTATCCTATTTCCCATAATCCTCTCTGATACTTCATGTGAAATGTAATAACAAGTTGCATAAATGTAATTTAGAGAAAGGTATTCCACTAAAAGTAATTTCTGATTTATTCAGGAGTTTGATTCCTGTCCTAAGAAAGATTAAGGATGGTTTTGAGCATTGTCATGTTCATGGGTGTCATGAGAGGTCACTAAGTTTCAAGACCACCAGTGAGGGACACAGCTTAACCTATTTTTTTTGTTGTTATTTTCTAACAAAAGGAGGTTATTGCATAACAGTGGAAAGTGAGTGGTGGGAAGGGATCACGATAACAACTAAACTAGAAACTGGCTCCACTTTTATTGTAGGAAAGAAGAGTCCATTGTCTTGATCTCCATGATAACTGCCATCAGGGCAGATCTTTGTTTTAAGCCAAGGTTTAAACCTGCCCTTTGGAGTAGGTCTCCAAAACAAGAGTTTCTAAGGCTGGAAACTTCTAATACAAATTTTCTAAAAGGATATTCAATTCATGGTATTTGCAACAGAATTAACGTGAAACGTACAGATTTTCTGGTGATTTATAGAGCGGAAAGCAGAAAATTATTACTAGGAGGGAGGCTTTAGAGGCTTTACCAGGGGTATTAAAATGGAATTCAAGTTTGTGAGGTGCCTGATTTATATAAAAATTCTGTCAAATGTTGAAATGAGAGGTGAGAATCTCAGCTCTGCAGTGCTTGAGAAAGCATTGAAGATCATGGCTGTAACACTCCCACCTCTGTTTGATTTTGCCACCCACAAGAGTTGCCACCTTTTTTGTGAAGTGAGCAGTTGCTCTTGCAACTCTGAGTGCATCTGCTATCCTCACCTTTATTCTTCTAGAAGCTCTGTTTTACATCTTCCTGGACATGACTTCTGATGTTCACCCAA